CTGCAGCGGTACCAGGACGGCAGAACCTGGACCCGTTCTGAATCCTCCTCCGTTCCCTCCTCAGGCCAAGGAGCGGGAGCTGGAGCTGAAGAACACTTGGTCCGACAACAAGATGAGCCGGCGACAGACGCAAGCCAAGTACGGCTTCTAGCGGAGGCCGAGCGCCGACAGGTGACTTCCCGCCAATCACACGAGTCTCCCCCCGCGGGTCACCGAGAACCCAAAAACCGACTTTTGCCGGATGGGCCGACGCCACGGCCGGTGTTATTCAATCCGCGATCTCCGCGCTCCGTAACAATGTGACGACCTGCGACCCCTGCGACGCCGGTGTTGCCGTTTTCTGGCTTCGGACGGAGAAGGAAATTTTTGTTTTTCCCTGTAAAATTAACCTTTTGTAGTCCTCGTAGCACGGAGGGAGCCGTTTTGTACTCCCGAAGTGGCTTCTTCCAAGATAAAGGCTGAGTGCCGCTGCCACAGGGGCACCCTTGTATGTCAGTGTTCTCTGTTTTTTGGAAGGGCTTTACCGTATGTAATAAATTAGAAATGTCACCCCCTGCTCTGTTTATACGCGGGGACCCCGTCCTTTCTGCTATACCAAGCTGGGCCTCGTTCCCCTAAAATGCACATGTGGCTGGGCTGCAGTGCCAGGTTCTGTCTGCAGGGGGAGCTACAGGCAATGGATTTAAAATATGCTTCCTGATTAACACCGTGGCACTGTTACATCATAGGACCCTTCTCCCATCAATTTCAGGCTACCCCAGGCCCTGCGTTCCCCCCCCTCTCCCCCATTGGACCTAATAGGTGCTGCGTCAGGCAGCTCCCCCTTTCCCTTAATGCATTGATGTACATGGGCTGCAGTACCAAGTTTAGTCTGCAGGGGGAGCTACATGGAATGGAAATAGGGATGTACCTGGGCTGCAGTACCAAGTTTTACTTGCAGGGGGAGCTACATGGAATGTTAATAGGGATGTACCTGGGCTGCAGTACCAAGTTTTACTTGCAGGGGGAGCTACATGGAATGTTAATAGGGATGTACCTGGGCTGCAGTACCAAGTTTTACTTGCAGGGGGAGCTACATGGAATGTTAATAGGGATGTACCTGGGCTGCAGTACCAAGTTTTACTTGCAGGGGGAGCTACATGGAATGTTAATAGGGATGTACCTGGGCTGCAGTACCAAGTTTTACTTGCAGGGGGAGCTACATGGAATGTTAATAGGGATGTACCTGGGCTGCAGTAGCAAGTTTAGTCTGCAGGGGGAGCTACATGCAATGCAATCATATAGGGAGGTGGTGATTCCTCACTAACACCATGGCACTGTTACATCATAGGACCCCTCTCCCGTCAATTTCAGGCTACCCTAGGCCCTGCGCTCCTTTTTTGTGTCTTCTCCCCCATTGGACCTAATAGGTGCTGCATCAAACAGCTCCCCTTTTCCCTTAATGCATTGATGTACCTTGGCTGCAGTACCAAGTTTAGTCTGCAGGGGGAGCTGCAGGCAATGCAATCGTATAGGGAGGATGTGATTCCTCACTAACACCATGGCACTGTTGCATCATAGGACCCCTCTCCCGTCAATTTCAGGCTACCCCAGGCCCTGCCGTCCTCTTTTGTCGTCCCCTCATACGGGGGGGGGGCATTGAAAGGAAAACATGCGTCAGCATCACAATACAAAGGTTATTAGTATTTTGACCCTCCGTGCGGCCTGTACGTGCAACACAGTGCTCCAGAAGAAACGCATCTTGGTGCTAAATACTGTTCCTAAGATCCCTCTAATAGAAGAGCTCAAACTCGCCTGTGTCCCCTTCCTCCCCTCCATTCTAGCAGCATTTAAAACTTCCAGGAGTGTCA